GCGTAAACCACGCCACGAATAAACGGCAGATATTGCTTATGTTGACAACAACATTTTATAAAAGAAAATGACAATTAAATTTCACACCTTGTCTAAGTAGGGACCCGTAGGGGCTAAACAGATGGAACTGCTGTCAACTGAATTAGCATTGTCATTCACACATTATTGTTAATTATAATAAACGCAGTATGTTAACTTCCTGGGTAGTTTTCACCATAAATTACATTATATTATTAATTTAATGCTTATGTAAATAGATATAGCATCCTTTATTTATTGGGTCTCGCCATATATAGACTCCAGCTAATCTGTCTATCACCCATAGTTTCGTTTATGAAAGAGTTGCATAAAAAATAAATAAACATGCATATATTTCTCAGACCTGTAGCACAAGCTGGGTATAACACCATTATATACGTATTTATTTCCTTCCTTATGACATATTACGTTGTAACTTCACGAGTAACTCCCTATTCCTCTCCCATCCTTATAACCGCAAACACCCATCAACACCTTACACCAAACCACACACCACAGCACACCACACCACACCACACCCCACCCCACCCCACACCACACACCACAACACACCACAGCATACCACAGCACACACCACAGCACACACCACACCACATACCACAGCACAGCACACCACACCACACCACACCACACCACACCACACCACACATCATTCATGGGCTATAATCACAATATAAAAGCATAAACAAATCCAAGAATAACAACGATTATCATAAAAAATAAATAATTGTTTGTAATTATCACTCATTTCCTTAGTCATATAATTATTACTGAAATTACTCGCCCAGGAGTCGAGTGGACCGAAGGGTGATTATTAATATTTTTATTATTATTATTATTAGTTGACAATAATAATCGTGTAATATAAGTAACACAAACTAAAAACAAATAACATTAGTACTAACCTAACCTAACCTAACATGTCTTATCCTAACCTAACCCTAATTATACCAAGATTATACTCTTAATTATTTCAATATACCGAAGAACGTCTTAACCAAAATACAATTAATATCATCACATTATGCAAACGCTAATACCCATGACGTCATCCACTAACACCCATGACGTCATCCACTAATACCCATAACACCATCCACTAACACCTATGACGTCATCCACTAAAACCTATGACGTCAAGAGACAAAAAAAAAAAAGCCTCCCTCTTCCACATAAAGGAGACCACATTCTGCTTTAAAACCTATGACGTCAAGAGACAAAAAAAAAAAAGCCTCCCTCTTCCACATAAAGGAGACCACATTCTGCTTTATGACTTAAGCCTTAAAACAGGGAACATTTAAGCACACACCTCAGTACCTACTACGTGTTGCAGGTAAGACCCAAGCTATAGTTAGCATCGTGTGATATATCAAGTTAAGAGTAATTTACAGCTTAAGAACGAGCAGCATTGGTGTCGTGGTTCATAATGTGTGGTAGTTTTAGAGTTACATTTAGTTATTTATGGTCGTGATTTGTAGTTATATAGGGATGTTATTTAGTTATTTAGTGTTGTTATTTACAGTTATGATTTACAGTTATTTAAAGATGTGGTTTAAAGTTATTTAGTCTTGATTTACTGTTATTTAAAGATATGATTTTCAGCGACTTAGATTTGATTTACAATTATTTGCAGCTGTAATTTACAATAATTTATGGTTGTGATTTATAGTTATTTACAGTTGTGATTTAGAGTTATTTAAAGATTTGATTTACAATTATTTACAGCCTTGATTTACTTTTTTAAAGATATGATTTACAGTCATTTAGAGAAATGATTTACAGTTATTTAAATATGCAATTTACAATTATTTAAAGATGTAATTTACAGTTATTTAAAGAAATTTTATTAACATGTGTGGTCGGCCGGACATTTTTCACTTCAAGATAAATTACTACCGCAGTGTCCTTGTGGCTTCACTGAGAAATTTTCTTAGCCACGATTTACAAGATTTACAACCCTTAATTGCCTGTGTTATTTATGGTTTACGTGATTTACAGGATCATGATGACTATGTTACATTATTATTTACACAGCTTGTTGTCTATAGTTTTGTTATATTTGTACGGGAACACGTATATGATTTTTTTTTAACTGTCATCATCATTATCTTTCATCATCATCATCATCATTATCCTTCATCATCATCATCATCATTGTCCATCATCATCATTGTCCATCATCATCATCATCATCCTTCATCATCCTTCATCATTATCCTTCATCATCATCAGCATCATTCATCATCATCCTTCATCACCATCATCATCATCATCATTTCGTAGTAATAGTAACAGTAGCAGAAGGATCAAACTCGTAATCATTATTCTATATCATTATAACTAACATCATCATTATCATTATTCTTACTACGGTCATTATCATCACTACGTAAATTAATAGACAATACGAGGGAGTATAGGGAAGGAGATGGTGGTGAGTCTGGGTTGAGTGAGGCGACAGTAAGAGTAGGTGGCTTGGGTGGGTGTGGGTGGGTGGGTGGGTGTGGGTGGAGTGGGTGGGGGTGGGTGGGTGGGTGGGGTGGGTGGGTGGGTGGGGGTGGGTGGGTGGGTGGGTGTGGGCGGGGTGGGTGGGTGTGGGAGTGGGAGTGGGTGGGTGGGTGTGTGTGGGTGGGTGGGTGGGTGGGTGTGGGTGGCAGGTGGGTTTGTCTTAGTTTTTCTCAATTTTTTTTTGTCAAGAATTTGTGAGTTAAAAAAACATTCTTGTGTTGTGTAAGTTAATATAAATGAAGAATTATTATGACAAATTCAATATATTAGTCTCAGTTAATTTCAATAAAATTATGACCAATCATTATCATTATTACCAAACAATTTCCAATTCTTTTGTTTCTTATCTTAAACATGTAAAAACTTATGAAACTAGAAGCATCTCAGTAAACTTTCCCACGTCTAAAAACTATGTAAAATTCTCGACATAATTAAAAACTTTCTCGTCTTGTACGTTAATAGTCTATGAAAATTCAAGCTATTGCAATCAACTATTTTTTTTTTCAAGTAATTTCATAGTTTCTTTTTTGAAATTGACGATGGCATCAAAAATTTCGTTGTGTTGTAAAGATTAAAGCTTATATGAATTAAACCTTTAAAAATAGCGAAGCTTTCTTAATAATTTGCACCGTGTTATTTATGACAGAGGGGAGATAGTGAGGGGAGAAGAGAGGTGTGTGGGGAGAGAGGTGTGTGGGGGAGAGGGGTGTGTGGGGGAGAGAGAGAGGGGGGTGTGGGGAGAGAAAGGGGGGTGTGGGGAGAGAAAGGGGGTGTGGGGGGAGAGAGAAGGGGGTGTGGGGAGAGAAGGGGTGTGAGGGGGAGAAAGAGGGGTGTGTGGGGGAGAGAAGGGGGTGTGTGTGTGGGGAGAGAAGGGGTTGTGTGGGGGAGAGAAGAGGGGTGTGTGTGGGGGAGAGAGAAGAGAGGGTGTGTGGGGGAGAGAAGGGGTGTGTGGGGGGGAGAGAAAGGGGGGTGTGGGGAGAGAAGGGGGGAGTTGTGGGGGGAGAGAGAAGGGGTGTGGGGGAGAGAAGGGGGTGTGGGGAAGAGGTGTGAGGGGAGAAGAGAGGGTGTGGGGAGAGAAGAGGTGTGGGGAGAGAAGGGTGTGGGGATAGAAGATAGGTGTGGGGGAGAGAAGATAGGTGTGGGGGAGAGAGAGAGGTGTGGGGGGAGAGAGGTGTGGGGGGAGAAAGGGGGTGTGGGGGGAGAGAGAGGGGGTGTGGGGGGGAGAGAAAAGGGGGGTGTGTGGGGGAGAAGGGGGTGTGTGGGGAGAGAGAAGGGGGTGTGGGGGAGAGAAAGGGGGTGTGGGGAGAGAAGAAGGGGGGGGTGTGGGGAGAGAGGGGGGGGTCAGTGTGGGGGAGAGAGAGGGGTGTGTGGGGGAGAAGAGGTGTGTGGGGAGAGAAGGGGTTGTCAGGGAGAGAGAAGGGTTGTGTGGGTGAATGTGGGGATAGGAGGTGTGTACAGGAGTGGGATTGTGGGAGAGTGAGGGTGAAGGTAGTGGGGGTGAGGGGAGAGGAGGGGCGTGCAGGGAGAGGAGAGACTGAAGAGAATGTGGAGAGATGGATATGTGGAGAGTGTGGGGAGGAGTGAGGGGAGTTTTGAAAAAGGGGAAAGTAACGGGAGTGTGAGGAGAGGGGAGAGTGATGAATAAGGTTAGACGAGGGGGAAGGAAGATTTAAAAAGAGACAGGGAGGGAAGAAAGGATGGAATGAGGGAGGAGGGGGAGGGAGGGAGGGAGGGAGGTGAGAGGGGAGGGAGGGAATGGGGAGGGAGGGAGGAGGAGGTAAGGAGGAGGGGGAGGGAGGGAGGGGAGGAGGGAGGAGGGGGAGGGAGGTGAGGAGAGGTGAGGGGAGGGAGGGAGGAGTGGGGGGAGGGAGGGAGGGAGGAGGGGAGGGAGGGAGGGAGGGAGGAGTGGGGAGGGAGAGGGAGGGTGAGAGAGGGAGGGAGGGAGTGAGGAGGGAGGGGGGAGGGAGGGGGAGGTGGGGAGGAGGGAGGGGGAGTGGGAGGGAGGGGGAGGAGGGAGAGGGAGGGGGAGTGGGGAGGGAGGAGGGAGGAGTGGAGTGGGGGAGGGAGGTGGGTGGGTTGGGAAGGTGGGAGGAGTGGGAAGGTGGGAGGGTGAGAGGGAGGGAGGTGAGAGGGAGGAAGGTAGGGAGGGAGGGAGGGAGGGAGGGAGCGTGGGGGCGTGGTAGAGGGAGGAGCAGCTAGGTCAGGTGATCACACACTCCACACACACACCCAGCCAGTCAGAAGGAGCGAGGCTGCTTCCTTCCCTCCCTCGAAACTCATGCACCTCCATCCTTCCTCCTCCATCCTCCTTCCTCCTATTGATATAGACCCCCCCTCCTTCCTCTATCCTTCTCTCTTACTCATTTTGTTTCGTTTTTTACCTCTTTCTCCCTTTCTTACTAATTCGATTTAGTTTTTTGTCTCCTTCAATTTCTCGGGGTTTTTTTCCCCGTTCTCTCTCCATCTCTCTTGTTTTTGTTCTAATTTCTTCTTTAATTTATTTCCTTTTGCGTCATTCCTTTACCCATTCTTTCTTTCTTTCTTCCCTCCCCACTATCGTGTGTCAGTGAACAGTGAAGTGACTTTAACTCTAATAGAAGCAGAAGAAAACAGTGAAAAAAAAGACAATGTAAACATAAATGAACGTGATAACAACAGTGAGTAAAAATAATTGTAAGAAGCAAGACAAAAAAAATATATATATTTTTTTGCTTGAAAAAATATTGTCTAAAGAAAAAAATAGCAAAGAAAATATTTTACCGAGAAAATAAAACATTTTGGCGGGAAGAATTTTTGGCGGGAACAAGGAGACTGACTGAGAATTCCAGGTGCGTGTTTACATATCAACCTCCGTGTATATTTTTGGTCAGAGGGGAATATTTATGCCCAGTCATACCCCTGCCACACAGTACCGCCTAGAATGGTGGTGTTGTCCCCAATGTATACAGTATAGTGTGTGTATATATGACCAACAGGTGTGAGAGAAGGTCATTGGAAGGATGAAGTGCACTGAATAAGTTAGTAAGTCTTTATAGTCAGTTCAGTCAGTCAGTCAGTAAAATAGGATGTTCAGAAAGTCAGTGAACCAGGACTTCAGTAGGTCAATAAGGCATGAGGTTCAGCCAGTCAAAAAATCAATAAATTAGCAATTTCTGAAGACATAAGATCAATAATTCAGTACAGCAGTAAGCCAGGACGGTCATTTGGTCAGCAAGTCAGCAGGTTAGTGGATCAGTAGGTAAACAAGTCAGCAAGTTAGTGGATCAGTAGGTAAACAAGTCAGCAATAAAATAAATCAGAAGGTCAGCAAATCAGGTATTTCAGTAGATCAGTAAGTCAGCAAATTACCAATTCAGATATACCCAGGCCAGCAATGCAGTAGTCAGCAAGTCAGCACTTCAGAGGTTATCAGGTGAGTGAGTCTGAAACTCAATCGTCAACATGTCAATAAATAAGTTAGTAGGTTAGTAAGTGAAATGGTTGGTCAGTAACTCAGTAGGACAGTCATAAGGTCAGCAGGTCATTCAGCAAGTCATCAGGTCAACTCAACTATTCATCAGATCACTCAACAAGTCATCATGTCAACTCAGCATGTCATCAGGTCAACTCAGCAGGTCATCAGGTCAACTCAGCAGGTCAGCAGGAGGTCAGTAAGGTAGCGAGTTATTTATACCTTGGTCAAGATCAATACCCCACTGTGATCAACACGGCCTCTACATCCTGAGACCAGCCTGGAAACCTCTTAAAAATGAGAGAGAGAGAGAGAGAGAGAGAGAGAGAGAGAGAGAGAGAGAGTAAAGACCAAAAATATATGGACAGGGAGAGGGAGAGGAGAGAAAGGTAGGAATATGGGAGAGAGATAGTAGGAATGGAAGGCAGGAGAGGGAGACCAAAAATATAGACACAGTTAGGGAAGATAAAGAGAGTAATGGTAGAGAGAAAGTAAAACGGGTTTATAACATAAAGTTTGTTCGTAATGCTGTCTGTCTTTTACTTATATATATGCTGATCATTCATGTGTGTATGTTTATGTCTGTGTGTGTGAATATACGAGTATGTGCGTGTGTCTGTGTACATTCTTGTTTTATAAGCATATTTGTATGTGCGTTTATCTGTATGTACGTGAACATGCATAGTAAATATACAGTAATTCAATATAAAACTAAGATCTCTCGTTTTCAGCCTTCCCCCACCTCAAGACAATTTTCTGTCCCAATAATTTATGGTCTGGAAATATTACTAATAATAACGTTTCTAATAATTGCGCTTGTATATAATGGTTCTCTGGATCAAATTACTGGGGGTTATTTTTAATCAAAGTGTTAGGGACAAAAAAAAAGGCAGCTGTAACCACAATGAATTAAGAGTAAATATGATGATGTGAACTGTATATAATGCGTGTAAAGTAATGCCATAGAAAACCACAATCAAGTGTAAATTGTAGAAGCAATGTTGCAATTCGTAGATATTTCGATTTCGATTGCGTGCGAGACCCTGGCTTATGACCACATAGCCACAGGTGTAAACACTGTGAGTTTGCAGATTGCTTTTGTCTGTGTGTCACGCGACTCCACATGGCTGGAAACTATCAGGTAGATTCAACAGTAGGGGTTGGGAGGTAGTAATGGCTGTTGTGGTTGTCATAATGATAGTGCTGGTGGCTGAAAGTGGTGGAGCTGTGGTTGACAGTGGATAGTAAACGGATATCAGTGATGGTAGTGGCACAGGTAGTAGCAGTAGTGGAGGTAGTAGGTGAAATAGTAGTAGTAGTAGTAGTAATGTTGGTGTTGGCAGTATTACCGGTAGTCGTGGTAGTAACAAGAACAGTAGTACTCAATCTACTCATGTTAACTTTATTTTCTTACACACGTTAAAAAATAAAACCTTCACTGAGCAAGAACAAAACATTTACTATATCTAGATTTCACTTATTCCTCCATTTCATCAGGGTTGGTTTTTTTTTTACCGTGAGTAATGGAGTTCTCTTAATGTTCTTGACTCCTTTTTACGGACTAACACCCTGACGAACAGAGACAGGGATATGGACTATATTTCCCCCCATCTTTTTTTTTTACGGAAAATGACAGAAGCATAATATCGCAAGTGGCAGTTTACTCAAGACAGCACAAAAGACTTAAGGGAACAAGGGATATGTCGGTAAAGTCACTTATCTTCTCAAACAGTAAATAAAGTCGAAAGAAATTGAGGTTTTTTGAGGTAGATACATTAAGTTATATAAGTCGATATATGTAACATGCCACGACCAGTAGGTTATTTTTTTCATGCTACACACCTTCACCTCTCACGCGTCCCATGCCACCCTATGACTTCCACGCCCCTCTACGACTTCCACGCCCTACTACGACCTCCACGCCCAACTACGACCTCCACGCCCAACTACGACCTCCACGCCCAACTACGACCTCCACGCCCAACTACGACCTCCACGCTACCGACCTCCGCCTAAACTTCACACCTCCTGCTGACTGCCCTCTGACCTCCTCCTGACCCCGCCCTACGACTACGCTCTCGACCTCCTCAGCAGTGTCATTCCGTCCATCATCTTCTCCCTCACTCACCCCCTCTGTTCTCCTCCTCACCCCCCTCTCATTCTCTACTCCTCCACCCCCTCTCATTCTCCCCTTACTCACCCCCTCATTCTCTGTCTCCCCCCTCTCTCCCCTCTCATTCTCCCTCCACTCACCCCCCTCACCCCCCTCTCATTCACCCTTACTCACCCCCCCTCTCATTCTCACTCAGTCAATTTCACACTTTGTTACCACGGGTGACTTGAGGTTAACCTGACAGACGAGGCCATTATATAACCTCGTGACCTGGGTTGCGTTAAGGCGGTGATCTTGTGACCTTGTATGTGTGTGTGTGTAGTGACTGGATTGACCTGAGACCGTGACCTCAGAACTATGTGACCTGGGTTGACCTGATTCCATAATATAGTATGTCTGTGACCACAAACTGTAAATTTCATATTTGTCTGATCTGATGAATCCAGTTCCCGTTTGATGACCTAAGTTGACCTTTGACCTGGGGCTGTGATCTCATACCTGTAAGCTAATACCCAAGTGATTATGGACAGACTTTGAACTTGTGTGATGCTACGCTGACCCAAGGCCATGACCAAGTACCTGTGTGACCTGAGGCTATAAACTAAGAGACGAGGGTATCACGTGACGTCGTCGTTCACTGTCAAGACCAACTATCATTTCCCAGGACAATTTTCTCGTGTCTGAAGAACTTGTATATCATTGCACCATTTTATTTTGAGTAGACCAATGAGGGGTTACTATAGCAGAGTAGTAGTAGTAGTAGTAGTAGTAGTAGTAGTAGTAGTAGTAGTAGTAGTACACCACCACACAGTCATGGCTGATCATGTAACAGTTTGTTTACCAAAAATAGACAAACATGTTGATAATCATTTTTGGCCCAAATATTTTTTGTATTATGTCAGCGGGAAAAGTGAGGTACATATGTGTTTGTTCGCTTGTATTTGTTTGTATGAATGTTTGTTATATTATTTATCATTATCATTATTATTGTTTGTTATTATTATCATTATTAATGTATCAATATTACTAACAATATCACAATCATTAACAACAATAGTGACATCATCATCATTATGCGTGTGAACATAAGTCAAGGCATGATTATGTTTCCAGTAAATAGATGAAAATTAAACCAGTCTCTCTAAATCACGCCTTAAAAAAAAATAATTTTACATAGAGAAAATTACAATCATTATTTTACCATTTAAAAGTTTTTATGCAAATATTCATACCTAGTTATCTATTAATAAATAAGGAATTTTCATGGATTAATGTTTACATTGTTCGATCGCAATCTAGTAAATAAATGTTGATTTAGTCACAGGTGGTAACAATACATATATTTAGGAGCTACATTTGGTTAAACATAGTTCGGTTAATAGATGCGATTTCTTTTTTTGCAGTAAGGTTGATAAACGTTGATTTAGGTCCCAGGCATTAATTAACATGTCAGATTTTGGTCTATATACTGTATTAACATTTATTTATGTTTTATATTTGGGTAGATAAACACTAATCTTTCTCCCATTTGGATAAATGTATTTTATTTTTTTGCCATGGGTAAAAATATTTACATAATAACCACAAGTAAAGGCCATACAAGGAGGCATCCCCCAACCGACCCTTCTGCAGAGTGGTGCCCAGATGAGGAAATGAAAGGTGATACAGTGTAGTGATCTTCTTGTTTTTTATTAAATGTATCGCCTTTCATGAGCAGTATCCACCCCGGCCTACAAGCCCATCAAACTCACTCCACTATCTCCGAGTGATATTATTCTAAAAATAGATATAATTATTGAAAGAAATACGATGACAATATTTAATTAAATGTCCCCTAATATTAGTTTTGATAACATTTGTTTAAAAGTGATTGAATATTTGATTACATACTGTACACGTGCGTGCGTGCGTTATATAACGAACGTTATAAAAACATGTGTGAGTGCGACTGTAGGTATACTTCTACCTGTCCCTGCATAATGATCCCATCATACAGTACACCCACGACTACACAGGTAACAACTGGTGTTAACGTTATTACCACACTGATAAACATATCCCAATATATACATCATAAGAAGAACAAGATATTTTGATCTATAATACTACTACTACTACTACTACTAATAATAATAATAATAATAAATGACGTGTCTGTCCGTGAGTGTGCCTGTCTGGCTCTTTGTTCTAGTCATAGCTCCAAAACGGAAGCAGCTAGAGTCCTTAAACTTTACACACACATATTACATGGGCCCCAAGGGTGTGCACCTTGGTATTATTACTTATGATGGAGGTGGTTACCCGTGACAGGGGGAGCAAACTGTGACCGTCAAGGTTAGGTTACGTTAGGTTAGGTTACGTTAGGTTAGGTTACGTTACGCTAGGCTATGTTAGATTAGATTAGGTCAGGTTAGGTTACGTTAGGTTGAGGTGGTTACCTATATCAGGAAAGACAAACTGTCAGTCGAGGTTATACAGTATACCTAACCCAAGCGACGTCGGATAATTTTACTAGTTAATAAATAGATCAATTATAAGCACAATCAGATAAATATTATGTATATATATATATATATATATATATATATATATATATATATATATATATATATATATATATATATATATATATATATATATATCTTATCATTTTTATTCAAGACATCTTCAGAGCAGTTGCTCTGAAGATGTCTTGAATAAAGACGAAAGCTAAGGTAATTCGTTGTTTCCATTTTCCCGTGATTTTATCAAGATTTATCTTATCCACGTTTTCATTGTGGATTTACATGAAATATATATATATATATATATATATATATATATATATATATATATATATATATATATATATATATATATATATATATATATATATATATATATATATATATATATATATATATAGATAGATATAATTTGATAAAAGCACATATAGTAATGTACCTGCTTGAAACATAATTATAACTATGAAAAACACCAGTGAGTTTTTAGTCTGACATGGAGATAATTAGCTTCCCGTCGTGGGGTTACAAAATCACACCCATTCATGCCATTTTCACAGTCATGACCTTGAACTTTGACATTCTAACCCCAAAAACATAGGACCTGTAGGGGCAGTTTTAATAAATATATTTACCAGATATAATCAATGAACCTTCTTCTGTTCTTCATTTAAATTGCGGTTACATTTTCATATTTATATGATATGTAGGGTCCTTGACCTTTGCCATCTTGACCTTAAAAGCACATCAGCTTTAGGGGTTGTCAAGGTGAATACATAAGACAAGTTTGAATAGTGTGGCTCATTCACTTCTTCAGTTATACCCAGCCATAATCTCATATAAAATAGGTTCCACAGAATGAGTAACCCGGTAAGGGAAAATACAAATAAAGCACTCAACACTGGGCTTAAATCACAAAAGGAGATGAGATTTTTATTCATTCACCCTCCACAACCCTATATATACTTATGTAATTACTTATGTAGGCAGCTGCGAATGGCACTGTCCACACAACTCACAATACCCATTCAAAGTGGCAGGAGGACGATTTTTGCTTAGGGTGAAAGTCTACGGATAACACAACCCATGTTTCACTTACTTGTCACTATTATTATTATTATTATTATTATTACAACTATTATTATAACTATTATTATTATAAAAATAAGGAAATTTTTATATATTCATGCGAGGCTGGACCATTCTCCCGACCGTGTATCATGTTAGTGGCCACTAAGCTACCGCTGCTCTATCAACATACTAGGGTGGGAAACAAATGATGAGGGGACATCCTATTCTGACACTGATTATATCCTGGTACGGTGGGGATATATGGAGGACTCAGATGGTAGACAATAGGATTAAAGTTCATCAATAACAGTGATTAATAGATCGGAAAAATTGGGACCCCTACTTGTGGCAACACTGTTCTTCAGCTGACCTGAAAACATATATGAAGAGAGAGAGAGAGAGAGAGAGAGAGAGAGAGAGAGAGAGAGAGAGAGTCGTAGGAGGCAGTATTTCTAATGATCATATCTTACATGTCTATTTAACTGTTCCTTCTTATCCTGACAGATAGACCTGTACGACCACTGCATCCTAACAGTCAGAATGATCCCTGCCAGTCAACCTCTCTACCAGTCAATTCACCTTCCAGTCACTGAACCTGCCAGTCATCTTATCTTCCAGTCAGATTATATACAATGAACTCACCTACCAGTAAGCTTCTCTACCAGGATACTCATCTCCAGTCGACTCATCTACCAGTCGACTCATCTCCAGTCGACTCATCTACCAGTCGACCCATCTCCAGTCGACTCATCTACCAGTCGACTCATCTACCAGTCGACTCATTTACCAGTCGACTCATTTACTAGTTGACACACTTATCATTCGACTTATCTACAAACTAATTCATCAATCAATTTATTTATCTACCGGTCCATCAATATTAGTCTCCAAATCACCAGTTAGCCAACACAAGATGACCAGACCACTCACTTAACCTCACCGGGTAGCAATTAACCCCCCGGGGCACCTTGATCTTCTTGTCTATTTGCTTCCCAAGAACTCAATCACGACCGGTTAGTTAAGAGGCAAATAGAGTAAAGGATTCGAATTCAATCATCAATTCTCCTGAGGTATCGAAGCTGAGGTATCTCGTTAGTGAGGATAACACGATGTACAAAATTTTCGTTCAACGTTATCTCTTTCCTTCTCTCACAAACGTCTCCACAAAGTAAGTGTAGATGGAAGAGAGAAGCTGTAACACGTAATGAGTTTTGATTTGATGAAGAAACCACGAGTTAATATTTCAGAATCATGTATTGTTACAAGTGACTTTAAACTTAATTATCATTAAGTGGTGATCCTCGACAAATGCCATCAATTTTAAACATGAGACAAGATGTAAAAGTTACTCTAAATGCATACAGAAACTTGATGTTGATAACGATTGTAATGGCTAGTGTTGAAATGTTCTCGGCGTGATAACAATAAGAGCATCGGGTGACAGGAGACTTATGGCTTCTGAAGAAAATGAATATAACTTCCTGAAGCAGGGGGCATTAAACCCTTCAGAACACGTGAGAGAAGACCGCGAGAAACAAGGAACAGACAAGGGAGGAGTAGGAAGGTGTGGAGGTGTGAGGTGCGAGTATCTTCTTGTCAACACCCCAGGCAGGTCTTCCAGCAGCCCACCAAGAGTCAACAACACAGAGGATGGAAGGAGTGGCCAGTCACCCCCCGGCCGTACTCACTCTGCGGCCAGTAGAAGAAATAATAAGCCGGTCTGTGAGGCCCTGGAGAGGAGTAACGCCATCTTTGAAGCTCTTGACAAGAAGAAGAAGGAAAAGAAAGATGAGGGGGACGAGGACGAGGAGGAAGATGAGAAAATTCAAGAGTCGTCTCAGCCAATGTCCTTTGGGAGGCTTGGAAACTGTGTGGCCTCCAGTGCTCTCATCACGAGGCCGGACAATGAGGCCCTTGAGAAGAGTCACGTTATCTTCTACTCTCCAGACAAGAAAAAGAAGAAGGTAGACGAGGAAGAAACTCAATTGCCATCTTCGATTGTGCCGCCCGGGACTTCAAGAGACATCCTGACGTCTAGCACAACTCCCTTCACGAGGCCTGTCTGTGAGGCTCTGGAGCAGACAAAGGCCGTCTTTGAAGCTCTTGAGAAAAATAAAAAGAAACAAGATCAGGCGTCATCTCCGTCAGTGTCCCCAGGGAGTCCTGAGGATACGGCAGCCTCCAGAGCCGCCATCTGTACGAGGCCGAAGTATCAGTACCTCCGAAGCGTAAGAGAGGTAGGCCCGCCTCTTACCATTCCAAAATGTGTAACAGTAGACCAGATGAACTTGATGTCATCAGATAAACCGACTGTAGAAAACTCGAATTTGAGAAATAAATCATCCGGGACAACTAAAGCATCTGTGTCAGATTTACGGCGTAAGAATGAGAAAACATTAAATCCGTCAACAACATCCCACAACGATTACCCAAGGAAAAGTTCTACTTCTACGTCGTCTTCACCAACCTCTGAGAGAGACAAACTTGAGGCAAATGGAGAAAAAGATGAAGTGTCCAAAAAGAGAAAAATGCAAAACAACAAAAAATCTACCTTCCCTCCTACTGGAATCCAAATTGAAAAGACTGCCCAAAGAGTCGTGTCTTCCACAGAACAAAACTACGAGCACCGGGGGGGAGAGGGAGCCGCTTCTCTCCCGTCCACTAACTCGACGACTGAGGCTCCTGGGAAACATACGAGACTCATTACTTCACCGACACGCTCTCCTGCCCGTCACACAGTAAAGGAACGGAGGGAGAAACCTTGTGTTGCAGTTAATGACGATCCTCTTGAGGTTTTTGTACCGGAGGGAGACACGAACAACGTCAGCACGACCAACATAAACATGTGTGACTTTCTCAACAACAAAAACAACCACAACACCGCCACAACAAATAACAACACTACCACTATCAAGATCGACAACAACCACAACCTTACAACCACAGCTATAAAAAACAACCACAATAACAACAGCACTGATTCTACATACACTCAAGACGAGAAAATAAAGGCGCTGGATGACTTTTCGTGTCGATATCTGAGTAAAGTTACTGGTGAATCTGTTGGAGCTAAAATTATGACCTGTAGATTCCTTAACAGCAGTAATAGCAACTCACCTGTGTATACAACTTCAATAGGTAAAGATGTCAACAGCAAGAACAACAATTCGGCGGTAGAGAGTAAATCCCCTAACAGTGGCATCAGTAACTCAGTTTTCGATACAAGTTCAACAGTTAAATACGTCAACAGTAACAACGACAACTCGGCCGTAACAGTTGAATATTACAACAGTAACATCGGTAACACAACTGCTTCTCCCTCAGGTATGACGGGTCAATATCGCATCAGTACAGACGTCAATGCCTCGACCATCATAACCCCGGCGTGTGAAGTCAGAAGATCCTCAGCCTCTCCTGCCCCCCAGACAACCCTACTTATACACAGAGCTAATAACAACAATAACAACGAGACGCCAAAGTCACCTATGAGTATAAGAGGGAACAAGTTCACAGCGAGCAAAAACTTTAATATCAAACGTAAAGAAACCAAGGTTGATGGGAGGTCGAACCGTCACCATCCCGCCACGGAAAACAAAAATCTTGATCATAACAAAAGGTTGGAAAATAAGTCACGCCCTAAGAAACACACAGAGCAGTTATCTCACGCCGGACTGAATTCTCCACATCTCACCAGAGAGAACAACAATAACAACACCTTCATAATAGACCACAGCTCAGGAAGCAATTATGTTGGTAAGAACTCGTTAATTCACCAGGTAGCTGTTGATCTAAGGAATATCTCTGAAGGTAATAGAGAAGCTCACGGGACAATCTATGGTGGTTTATGCTCTCAGTCGTCAAAAGAAGACAAGACAAACGATAACTATCTATCTCGTAAGAGCTCAGAGGAAAAAAAACAGGATGATAATAAAAGTTGTGAATCACCACAGGATCTTTTCACCTCGCAAATTAAGGACAAAAAGATTCCTGTACGGTCTAGAAGCTCAAGACTTCATCTCGACGCACCACCACAACACACACTGTCTAGTGACCACCGTGAGGACCATACGAGGACCTCAGTATCGTACATGGACACGACTGAGAGTCCCAGACGTCCACACAATAGCTCAGTGAAGGTTCCACTCACTCAACCTGCAACTGAGAGTTTGCATAAAATTTCAGAGAATAATATCCAGCAGAAAGTTCCTCTCTGTGGATATCTAAAGGCAAGAGGAGGAGCATACCAAACAGCGTCGGTTAGTGGGAGTTGTGAATATCTTATGGATCATGAGGGAAGAGGTTCACTGTCGGTGCTTTCAACAGATGATAATTCATGGACAAGTAAGAAACACTCAACGAAGTCTCTTGATAAAAGACCTGAAGACAGTGCAGGAACTGAAAGATTCTACCAATTTTCGAAGTGCTTGAAGGATGATGGCACTAACCAGTCGGTGTCCTCTGTTAGGACAGCTGACGTCACCAACCCCTCGTCCATATATCTTCAGAAATATACTAATAACAGTCGCTCATCTTCCAGACAAGGCAAAGAACACTCCATTAGGGACAGTGTCAAGAATTCTCCCGCGAATCTCGGTAATGATGATTTAAAACACGATGCTCTTAAGTCTTACAACCAAGGATTAGTGAAGGGATTCGTTAGTCCATCAGACGGGGAATATAATGACGTAACAAGAGTAAAGTCTTCCAGCCTCTCTTGTGAGTCCCAGAACAAGAATATGAAGATTCCTACACAGTCTGTTGGAGCCCATGGTAAACTCGACGCGAAAGATATTGTTTTCAGACCAGATACCACACAACTCCCAAAATTTACATATGAAAATGTGAGAAAGCAACATGACTCTGGCATACACATTTCTAGAAACGTTACACACAATGCGTGGCGAAGCGACCGTTTTACAAACTCATCCACGGGGTTGTCGGGCCATGACGAGATGTTGAACACAAGGTATTTTAGCCTCGATAATTTACCAGTGAGCACAAGAGAGAACAAATGTGTGAGATCTGTTAGTGCTTGTGAATCTATTAGTGATGGTAGGCGCGCTGCCCATAATCCCTTAATTGCCTCAGCAGAAACAGTGAAACTTTCCCTCCAAAACTTTGAGAGAGATACAGAGACGAGCAACAGTCCTCCTTCCACACCTTTGTCCCCAGGAAGAGTCAGTACACAGTTTAAGGTTTTGACGAAGACCAGAAGTCCTGTTAGTTGCTACTCGGCTAAGGACGATGAAGACGACGACGATTGCTCTGACAGTTCAGGCAGCGAAGCCCTCGAGAAGTACGACCGTAATCTTGTAGCATCGGTGAGCTCAGTGTCTGACAGTCCCAGAGCCAATGATTTGGACCTTGTGCCGCCCTCAGCAACACCCTGTCAACACGACGAAGATAATACAAGCGACGCTAAAGACGTTGAGATGGATGATGTTATTAATGGTCCATCTGTAAGACGCAGTCCTCAGTGTCTCACTCCAAATGAAAATGAGACAAAATTTGAAAAAATCAAAAGAGAATTAATGCAAATAGATAAGAAAACCGCGAAGAACTTTGTTCTGACTGCTGATCAAATGAAAACAGTCTTACAGATTGAAAACAATATTTACAGAATGGCGAACATTATAGCAGGTTCTGAGAAACTTAAATCCAGACATGGAAATTACATTCCTGGCTGTGACTTTTTGAGTGAACGTTTACAAGAGAAAGTGACAAACGTTTCTGAAAATTTTCCTCCACGGTGTCAGTACACTGACGGAGATGATAAACGTTTTTCAAACTTTGGGAACCTAAGTTGTGAGTTCCTCAGTAAGAGTGAGAGTACAGCAGGTGTGTCACTTGTCAACACAAAGAGGATCATTCCCTCCTCTGATCATCCCAGTTGTGGCTTTCTCAATATCGATGAAAGGCACGACCAGCGGCCTCCTGGTTTACTTAGTGGGGATCTGTCAGCCAACGAGATGCAACTTAAAGCTCATGAAAACAGACACATCGACGACACCAGCATAAAGAACTTTCTGACAATATCAAGTTCAACCTCAGAAGAGCTTAGAAAATCTGAACCTCAATCACCCGCCACCCTGGTGGAGACATCACCCATTGCCAGGACTCGGTTGAACCAAAGACCCGTAGACACTCAAACTCCACAGTACCTCGCAGCAGACGGCGTTGTTTCCCCAAGGTCGTCAAAGACTCACCACCGGTCTTGTGGATTCCTCTTGAGAGTACAAGAAGTCCTGCGCAATCTGCCGGCGTCTGAACCTCCTGAAAATGTGGGAGCCTCTCTCCTCCCTGCCTAAGCTTATCAGTGAATTTCTTGAGATATCCAGACAATATCGCAAATCAAGGAGAAACATTTTTAGTGTGTTGGCCAAACAACGTGACCTAATGGAAGTATTTAAAATAGATTTCTTAGCAAACTTAACCAACACGTCATCCTGAACTAATAACACTGATGGCTAACGTAATCCATAACAACTGTTCACTGCCTTTCATGGAAAACATTGCCAAAAACATGATAGACAAAGAACTGTTTTTTACATGCATTAAAATCGAACTTGAAAAAAAAAATCCTCACGCACAAAAACACCTTTACGTGAGTCAGTAAAGGCGTGCATTGGAATTCTATCAAGCAGAATATAACAATTGAACGTGCTTTCAATAAATCCAATACATATATATACTTTTGATGAATACTTAATATATATATCTCTAATTCTCATCCTTTATCATCGTCTGTCTAATTATGATGAAATAATCTGATATGTATACCTAATTATGAGGACTCCAATACATTATATATTTAACTCTAATTATGTATTCGTTATTTACAGTATTTCTCTGTTAATTTATTATAATGCTGAATTCAATAACTCCATTGCCCAACCCTGAACAAATCAATAACTTTATCAATACAATTTTGATGGGGAATCATATATACTGACCTAATAATGAAGAATCCAATGTTTGTTTGTCCAGTGTGTTTATATCTGTTTAGTGCTGATGAATACAATAGATCGTGTGTGTTATTGTGGTGAATACAATAGATTGTGTGTTAGTGGTGGTGAATACAATAGACTGTGTGCTAGTGGTGGTGAATACAATAGATCGTGTGTTTAATGGTGGTGAATACAATAGATCTTGTGGTTTATGATGATGAATACAATAGACTGTGTGCTAGTGGTGGTGAATACAATAGACTGTGTGTTAGTGGTGGTGAATACAATAGACTGTTTGTTTAGTGGTGGTGAATACAATAGACTGTGTGTTTAATTGTGATGAATACACTAGATCGTGTGTTTTATTGTGGTGAATACAATAGATCTTGTGGTTTATGATGATGAATACAATAGACTGTGTGCTAGTGGTGGTGAATACAATAGACTGTGTGTTTAGTGGTGGTGAATACAATAGACTGTGTTTAGTGGTGGTGAATACAATAGACTGTGTGTTTAGTGGTGGTGAATACAATAGACTGTGTTTAGTGGTGGTGAATACAATAGACTGTGTGGTGGTGGTGAATACAATAGACTGTGTGTTTAGTGGTGGTGAATACAATAGACTGTGTGTTTAGTGGTGGTGAATACAATAGACTGTGTGTTTAATTGTGGTGGTGTGTTTAGTGGTGGTGAATACAATAGACTGTGTTTTTAGTGGTGAGATACAATAGACTGTGTGTTTAGTGGTGGTGATACAATAGACTGTGTGTTTAATTGTGGTGAATACAATAGACTGTGTGTTTTAATTGTGGTGAATACAATAGACTGTGTTTAGTGGTGGTGAATACAATAGATTGTGTGTTTAGTGGTGGTGAATACAATAGACTGTGTGTTTAGTGGTGGTGAATACAATAGACTGTGTGTTTAATTGTGGTGAATACAATAGACTGTGTGTTTAGTGGTGGTGAATACAATAGACTGTGTTTAAATACAATAGACTGTGTTTAGTGGTGGTGAATACAATAGACTGTGTTTAATTGTGGTGAATACAATAGACTGTGTTTAGTGGTGGTGAATACAATAGACTGTGTTTAATTGTGGTGAATACAATAGACTGTGTGTTTAATTTTGGTGAATACAATAGACTGTGTGTTTAATGGTGGTGAATACAATAGACTGTGTTTAGTGGTGGTGAATACAATAGACTGTGTTTAGTGGTGGTGAATACAATAGACTGTGTTTAATTGTGGTGAATACAATAGACTGTGTTTAGTGGTGGTGAATACAATAGACTGTGCGTTTAATTGTGGTGAATACAATAGACTGTGTGCTAGTGGTGGTGAATACAATAGACTGTGTGTTTAATTGTGATGAATACAATAGACTGTGTGTTTAATGGTGTTTGATGATATATTTGTGTTAATGATGATGTATACAACAGTCTGTAAAGTTTATGTCAGCTAATTCAGAAGTTTGTGTTTTCTTGGTGATAAATACAAGAATGCAAAGGTGTTGTGTGTTAATCCTAACTAATAAATTCAATAAATGTGTTTGATTTTCATTATATTTAACCATTTATTTTACAGAGTTGATGATTCACCTAAATATAACTGCCGTAGAATAATAGATCAAGGAAGATTCTCAAAATCCCTTGGGTACCAGCATCCCCCCCCCTCCCCCTGGGTCTAGTGGCATTGTAATCAAAAGAAAAGGTCTATCAAAACGTTAAGTCATCGTATTCAAAGGATTATATCATCTTTTCATTGTGTTAAAACTTTATTCAACCAATATTTAAGTCATCGTAGCCCATAAATTAAATTTTCATTTCGAAGGGTTAAGACATCATACTCAGGTGGTCAAATTGGTGATCATTACTCAATTCGGCTCTTCTTGATCCTCCACAAGGGATAGGTTAAAGGTCATCCATGTCGTTAAAGTTTACCTCAATAGCATTAAATTATACATAGGGACGACTTCAATAACGTTTCAATAGAGGTCAACATAATGGTTCTGGTATAGAGACGCTGTTTTATGTGGATATTAAATTTTTCGATATAGTAACTCAGGCTGATCGCATGTGGTCCTTGGAATTATTTTCTGCGGCTCGCGGACTCAAGCAGAGATAATCTTAGTAAAATCCTATCAAATGAAGAATCTCATTACAAAGATTGAATTCCACAAGACCATTACGTGATGATTACAATCCTTGTGCCTGGTATTGCCGTGGTAAGAGCGACTGTGTTCGGAATTAAGCTATTTTACTGTAACTGTTCAAGCGTCTTAACGTTACGGTAAAAACTAGACATTAAAGAAACTATTAAGTCGTGATTGTGGTCAGTGGACTGTGTTAAGAGGTAATTTTCGGTCCACAGCGGCATAGTGTTTCAACCACTGTGTATCAGCCTTTGCGAGTATAACCTTACGGTATCACTGTGGTTTGTGAAATTAAACCCCCAAAAATACACTATAAGTATCAGTAATTATATGAAACTTGGGAGCATTAAAACCTTATATAACTCAGGAGTGTCAGGAGTCAGTGTCAGGAGGGAGTCAGTGTCAGGGGGGGTCAGTGTCAGGGGGGCCAGTGTCGGGGGCCAGTGTCAGGGGGGGACAGGGGCCAGGCCAGAGTCAGTGGGGGACAGGTTGGGGGGGAGTCAGTGTCGGGGGGGAGTCAGTGTCGGGGGAGTCAGTGTCGGGGGGAGTCAGTCGGGGGAGTCAGTGTCGGGGGGGAGTCAGTGTCAGGGAGCAGTGTGGGGGAGTCAGGGGAGTGTCGGGGGGAGTCAGTGTCGGGGGGGAGCTGTGCCGGGAGTCAGTGTCGGGGGGGAGTCAGTGTCGGGGGAGTCAGTGGGGAGTCTGGTGTCAGTCGGGGGGGAGTCAGTGTCAAGTCAGTGTCAGAGTCAGTGGGGGGAGTCAGTGTCGGGGGGGGGGAGCCAGTGTCGGGGGGGGAGCTGCGGCTGTGGGGAGCCAGTGAGGGGGAAGCCAGTGTCAGGTGTCAGCCAGAGTCAGGGGGGAGCTGTGCTGGGGGGAGCCAGTGTCAGGGGGAGCCAGTCAGGGGGAGCTAAAGTCAGGGGGAGCTGTGTGTCAGGGGGGAGCCAGTGTCAGGGGGGGAGTCAGTGTGTCAGGGGGAGCCAAGTCAGGGGAAACAGTGTCAGGGGGAGCCAGTGGCCAGGGGGAGCCAGTGCCAGGTGTCAGGGGGGGGAGTCAGTGTCAAAGCCAGTGTCAGGGGAGCCAGTGTCAAGAGTGCCAGGGGGAGCCAGTGTCAGGGGGGAGTGTGTGTGTCAGGGGGAGTCAGTGTCAGGGGAGTCAGTGTCAGGCCAGTCAGTGTCAGGAAGGGGAGCTCAGGCGTCAGGGGGGAGCAAGCGTCAGAGCGTCAGCGTCAGGGAGTCAGCGTCAGGGGGAGTCAGCAGGGAGGCTGGGGGCCAGTGTCAGGGGGCCAGTGTCAGGGTCAGTGGGGGGTCTGTGTGTCAGGGGGGGCCAGTGGCCAGGGGGGGGGTCACCGTCAGGGGGGGCCATGTCAAGGGGGGTCAAGTCAGGGCTGTGTCAAGGGGGGCTGTGCTCAAGGGGGGTCAGTGTCAAGGGGAGCCCAAGGGGAGTCAAGGGGAGCCAGCAACAGGAGGAGTGTCAGGAGGGAGTCAGTGTCAGTGTGGGGGAGGCTGTCAGGAGCGCTCAGGAGGAGTCAGGAGGAGGTCAGTGTCAGAGGGAGTCAGTGTCAGGAGGGAGTCAGTGGAGGGAGTCAGTCAGTCAGGAGGAGCTGTGTCAGGGGGGAGCCAGTCCAGGGGGGGTCCAGGGGGGGTCAGTGTCAGGGGGGGTCAGTGTCAGGGGGTTCAGTGTCAAGGGGGGGTCAGTGTCAGGGGGTCAGTGTCAGGGGGGGGTCAGTGTCAGGGAAATAATATACACCTTGGTAATTCTTGGAAGTCAGTGGTAGACTCACGCACTCATTCTTGTCTCGAATTGTCTCAGTGTTTCATATTAAGTCAAGAGGGAGGATGTCTTACGAGGACAACACGGCACAACAGCAAAACTTAACGCAACATCACAACACAACGTAACACCAAACAACGCAACACAACACGTCATGAACGGGCTCCCTATATGAGGCAAGAACAACAAAGAAGCAGAAGAGAATAGCTGAGGTTTTGTCACTCACCGCGGAAAGCTGTCAAAGATCTTGTTTACATGAAGGAAGAAACACAATGGTTTCTTGGTGTGTGAGAAAAACAGTAAAATGGTCTTGTTTATTAAATGAGAGATACAGTAAAATGGTCTTGTGTGAGGAAATTGGCAAAATGGTCTTGATTAGGTGAGAGACATAATAAAATGGTCTTGTTTGTGTGAAAGAAACAGATAAAACGTATCATGTTTGTATGTTAAAAAAAATATCACTAATATGCTACAGATTGTGTGAAGGGAAAATAACAAAGAACAATATGATTTTGTTTATCTAAGGAAATTGAATTTTTATGTCGCCAATTTGTCGTCGCATCCAACGTCACTCTCCTTTTCCTGACAACACAACTTCTTTACAACTAAATGATAGAACTTACCACCCAAACAAGTTGAACTGGGTAACGATACAAAGAAAATGTTGGTGAAGAGTAATGTGTCGGGGAGTTAGTCGTGAAATAGCTCTCGCTCTCTCTCGCTCTCTCTCATATCAAATATCTTTGTTATCTGTTTCTCTCTCACACATGGCACTAGTACAAAGACCCCAACGCACGCATACACACGCACGCGCACACACAAACCCCCCAAACAGTCTCATAGCAACTCTGAACTGGATCCTTTACTCCAACAACTTGCGTGCGGCCGAAGATAAAATTACACTACTTGGTCTTCATTCATCACGAGAAGGACCAGCCCTCAGTGGGTCTCGACTCTTACAAGGCTTAACGTAAAATTTATGAGCCAAACTGGAGATGTGAGACGGCGCTTAGGTTGATACTTTGAGCTTTTAAGGATTGTATGTTACGTTGTTTTATCAATGACGGGGATTTGAGAGCGTATCAAATCGGTGTGTTTGAGCTACAATGTAAAGATGGATTCTGTTCACTTTGTATATATAATAAATTTTCTCGTCATTAATGGTGTGTTAATATATCTTATTTTGATTCACAGTTGGGTTCGTATAGTAACTTTCCTCTTATGGTGAAATATGAAGACGTACAGTATATGACTCGTCCATTTAAGCTTCAACACAAAGATGTCTTCTCACTGGTTCTTATGATAATTTTTTTCTCCTGGCGAGGTTTGTGAAGACGTTTCTAACTGGCACATTTGAGGAACTATAAAAATAAATTCACATTGAGTCGTACTATAATTCTGAGTCTTACGAGAGATATGAGAATATATCTAACATACTCACATTAACTATGGCATAAATAAACTCTGGAAGGAACATACGAAGAAAAATGTTCCTGGTTAAGGAAAGAAGCTGAAAGAGTTACATCTAAAAGTGTTAGCATTATTGTGTTGGGCGATAACAGCTGAGTGATCCCT